CTGAAACTTTGTCCCCATTAACAATGACTCCTCATTCCTCATTCCCACCTGCTCCTGGGTACCCCCATTCTACTTTCTGTCCCTGTAAATCTGACTACTCTAGGTATCTCATACAAGTGAACTCATCTAGTATTTGTCTTTTTGTGACTGGCTTGTTTCACCTAGTATAATGTCTGCAAGGTTCACGTTGATGAATTCTTTCATTATAATAACTTTTTTTTTTTTGAACAGTCTCACTCTGTCACCCTGGGTAGAGTGCCATAGCATCATCATAGCTCATAGCAACCTCAATCTCTTGGGCTCAGGCAATTTCCTGCCTCAGTCTCCCCAGTACCTGGGACTACAATGTCTACCATGATACCTGGCCAGTTTTTCTATTTTACTTTTTAGTAGAGATGGGGTCTTGCTCTTGTGCAGGCTGGTCTTGAACACCTGAGCTCAAAGGGTCCACCTGCCTCAGCCTCCCAGAGTGCTAGGATTACAGATGTGAGCCACTGGGCCCAGTCTATAATATCATTTTTTCTTTTTTTGAGACAGAGTCTCACTTTGCCACCCTCAGTAGAGTGCTGTGGCATCACAGCTCATAGCAATCTCAAACCCTTGGGCTTAAGTGATTCTCTTGTCTCAGCCTCCCAAGTAGCTAGGACTACAGGTGCTCACCACAATGCCTAGCTTTTTTTTTTTTTTTTCTCTTGTCATTGTTGTTTTTAGCAGACCCAGGCAAGGTGTGAACCCACCAGCCCTGATGCATGTGACCAGTGCCCTAACCACTGAGCTACAAGCATAGTATAACATCATTTATTGATAACATAATGTATTCTAGAGCTGGGCTAAAGGCTTCATATGGATAATCTCATTTAATAAATTGTAAAGTAGGGGGTTACTCTGTGGCAGCTTAACAGATGATGAAATCAAAGCTTAAGAAGATTAAGTCACCTGTACACAGAGCTAGTAAGTGGGGGGCCTGGCCTGGCTCCCACACTACCCACCTCCTGTGATCATGTTGGACACTGCAAGTGTCAGGGGCTCCTCTTGCATCATCTTGCTCAGCCCTCAGTCAGTGAAACAGATCTGGAAACAGCAACCTTGAATGAATTCCAACTCCCAGTTTGCCTCAAATTAAACATGTATATGTCAGAAAATGATTTGTCTTTCTGGTACCTCATCAAGAAGATACTTCTTCATAAGCTCCAACCACAAAAAATAAATGGATGTGGTTGAAGAGAACAGATGCATGAAATGTTTCAAACTGAGACATGAAATAGCTAGTGGCTCACATTTATGATACCAGCAACTTGGCAGTGAGGTGGAAAGATGGTTTGAGTGCAGAAGTTCAAGGCTGCAGAGAGCTATGACAGTGCCACTGTACTCTAGCTCAGGTGACAGTGAGAGACTCTTATCTCTAAAAAAAAGGAAATACATAAAAATTTGACTGTGCATAGTAAGAACTTTATGTGCTGCTAAAATAGTGTATTGTAAAAGAAAAATTACAATAAAGGTAAATGTAATATATTCAGCAACCAAAGCATAAAAATCATAAATTGTATGGTTAAACAAATGTTAGGGCCGGGTGCGGTGGCTCACTTCTGTAATTCTGGCCCTCTGGGAGGTCAAGGCAGGTGGATTGCTTGAGGTCAGGGGTTTGAGACCAGCCTAAGCAAAGCAAGACCCCCCTGTCCCTCCTAAAAAAATAGAATAACTAGCTGGGCATAGGGGCAGGCACGTGTAGTCCCAGCTACCGGGGAGTGTGAGACAGGAGGACTGCTTGAGCCCAACAGTTTGAGGTTGCTATGAGCTGTGACGCCATGGCACTCTACCCAGGGCAACTGAGTGAAACTTTATCTCAAAAAAGAAAAGAAAAGAAAAAAAAAGGTTATGAGGTAATATCTGTATGTAAGTTATCTTTAAAGAAAATACCTGCTTTATTGATATATAATTCACATAACATACAATTTACCAATTTATAGCATACAATTCCATAAGTTAGTTTTCTGCTTAAAAGAAAAGTGCCTCAGTTTTTTCTACAATTCTTTCCTTGATTGATTTCACTGATGAGAAAGTTAAACATGGCTCCGTGCATGTAACTCAGTCGTTAGGGCACTGGCCACATATACTGGGGCTGGTGGGTTCGAACCCAGCCTGGGCCTGCTAAACAACAATGACAACTGCAACAATAACAACAAAACAGCTGGAGGGTGCCTGTAGTCCCAGCTACTTGGGAGGCTGAGGCAAGAGACTCACTTGGGTTTGAGGTTGCTCTGAGCTGTGATGCCACGGCACTCTACCAAGGACAATGTAGTGAGACTCTGTCTCAAAAAAAAAAAAGAAGAGAGAGAGAGAGTCAAACAAAAAAAAGTGAAGCCCAGAATTCCCGGGATGTTGAGTTCCATATAAATAATTTGTCTTTTGTCAATGTTACTTCTATATGCTTAACTTCAAGTCCTTAACCTTTTGAGTTTAAATGTTCCTTTAGAGTTCCATTATTATGCAGTAACTATAACAAAATAAAAGGAGGCTATGTTTCCTGTCTGGTGGAGAAGAGCTTAGGTAACTCAATGTGTTAGCAGTACGGTGACATCAGAGTGGAGGCCCTTCCCACCAAGTGCAGCAGTATTTCTTTGAGCCAAAAGAATTTTAACTTGCAAATCCAATGTCTCTTTCCTGGTGTAGAGAAACCGAGAACCCCAAGCCCCAGGCTGCAGCAGGAGCTCTGAGCCCCAGGGAGAGGAGACCCTCAGTGTGCAGAGGCATAGAAGTGGTGGGGACAGAAATGGGGGGGGGGGATGCTGTCAGAGGTTCAGACAGCCGGGGATCCAGGGCCCCTTCTTCCTCAGCACTGCTCAGCCTTCCTTCCCTGCTCTCAGCAGCCCCTGAGACCAGGTGCCTGTAAAGCTAGGAGAAGGAGAAGGCAGGACCACGGCCCTTTCTGGTCTTTTGACGTTGTGGGGGCCACACAGGTCAGCTCTCAAATTAACTGAAGCTGAGGGAGGCAGTGAGGGAGAAGGGGAAGAAATGCATATTGGGTTGTCGAGCTACGTTTGTGGCAAAACCTGGACAAGGAAAAGGAGATGTGACTCTGGAGGCAGAAGAAAAAAAAGTTCTACGTTGGTCCCATGGAGAGATTGTACAGTAGATGTAATGTTAGCCAACGCCTATGTGGTGCTATGTGATAGGAAAGGTTTTGAGCACTGTGGTATATGAATTCACTTTATCTTTGCAAAACTCCCATGAAGGAAATACTGTTATTGTCCCCATTTTATAGAGGAAGAAACTAAAAGCTTCAATAACCTGCCACATATCAGGCACTGGTGGAGACAGCGTTAGAACCCCGGGGTGTCTGGCTCCTGAGCTCAAGCTCTCTCTGCTGTGCTATATTGCTGGAAACTGTATCCTCACTAGCAACTACACATTTTTTTATATATACATATGTATATGATATATAAATATTAACTCATTCTTCCTTTCAGGTTTGAAGAGAAGACTAATAGTGGAACTTCTGGTACCCTCTGAAAAGCAAATTTTATCAACTTCTTTCTAAGGGATGAGGTCTTTGTTGGTCATTCATGACCCAATAGCCCAGACAGTCAAGGGGGCACCCCACTAGTGAAAGGCCTACAGGCAGAGTTAGGGCAAAGCCTATGGCTACTGAAAGACCACGTGGGCATGTTGTCACCTGCCTCTCACCTGCCTCTCACAGACCATATGGGCAAATGTGATTGCTTTATTAATCCTCATGCTATTGCTCTCTCAAGGAATATTGATTCAAACAGAAGCAAAGTTGTAACTGGTACAACTTTTGAAAATACATTTTTGTATTTAATTCTAAAGGGAAATAGTAGTGATGTCTTTATTTGTAAACTCTGAATCCCTTCTTTGACTTTACCTTGTAACTTTTTAAATTTTATTCTTTTTTTTGAGACAGAGTCTCATTCTGTCACACTGGGTAGAATGCCCTGGCATCACAGCTCATAGCAACCTCAAACTCCTGGGTGTGTGAGATCCTTTTGTGTCAGCCTCCCAAGTAGCTGGGACTACAGGCACCCATGAGAACACTTGCCTAGTTTTTCTAATTTTTCGTAGAGACCTGGTCTGACTCTTGCTCAGGCTGGTCTTAAACTCCTGAACTCAAGGGATCCACCCACCTTGGCCTCCCAGAGTGTTAGGATTACAGGCGTGAGCCACTGTGCCTGGCCACCTGGCACATTATTTTTGTTTTTGTACACATGGGAGACATTACCATGTGCAATCTAATCTATGTGGTCAATTGGCCAAATCATTCATCCCTTACGGTTCTGACATGCCTGCCCTGGCAGGTTCTAGCACCCAGGATACAAAGGCAACAAGACACACTGTCTCTAGGCTCCTGGAACCAGTTAGGGCTGAGAGTTGACTGATTCCGGGACGTGAAAGGAAATAAATACAATAGCAAGATGATTTCAGATGAGGACACCTATGTTCCAGAAGACACTAACTCATGATGATATTTGAGAGACTAGCAAATGGATCACCCTGTTTAAAGAGCATTTATTTGGTCAGGAGAAAAACAAGAAATCAAGTTCCAAATGGCATGGCCTATGAACTGTCTGAATTATCAGGGAACACTAACCTGGAATAGCAATGATATTAAAATGCTAATGACGGGCGGCGCCTGTGGCTCAGTGGGTAAGGCGCTGGCCCCATATACCGAGGGTGGCAGGTTCGAGCCCTGCCCTTGCCAAACTGCAACAACAAAAAAACAAAAATAAAAAATGCTAATGACATCATAAGTACATCTGGCTGAAAGGCTCAGGCTGAAATATGGCTCTGGCTAGTTTGGGCTACAAAGACAGTTTGGTTAGAAATGTTGACCTTGCAGGGATCTCTGCTCCTTGGATTAGAACCTTAAGCCTGTGTTTGTTCATTACACAAGTATTCTGGATCCGCTTCTCCCAGAGGCATTTAAAACACACTAAGGTGGTGTTGCATAAAAAGCAAGCTCGTGTATTCAGCAAATATAACCAGTGAGCAGAGTTGGCGTCACTCACTCTGGGAGCAGGAAGCAGAACGTCCTGCTGTGGGCAGTTCAACGCAAGCAATGGACATGGAGAAGGTCAACTCCATGGACTTTGGAGAATTCGTGGATGTGTTCGGGAACATCATTGAGAGATGTCCTCTTATTGCAGCTGCAGTTTGGTCCCAGCGACCATTCTCGGACGTGGAAGATTTAGAGAAGCACTTTTTTGCCTTTATTGATGCTCTGCCACAGTCAGGTAAGGCTTCAGAAAGACGTTCTCCCCAAAGGGCTCTCAAATATGCCTATCAAGACATGCTTAGATATTTCAGCCTACTTGCTTATACTTGATATGTTTATTTAGCTAATTTTCATCAGAAGGTTCAGTACGTTTCCTTAGGTTGTGGTTTAGGTCAGAAGTTGGCTGAAGGAAGGCGTGCTGGCGAGGGGAGCATGGCTGTTAAATATTAGAGATTTGAGGTCGCAGCAGAGACAGGGCCAAAGGCCTCAGAGTGATTTAGGGGCCGAAGGTCAGGCTGAGGGCCCACCCTCAGCCACCCAGTGTTCACTCTGGGAATGTCCTGTATGCAAGAGAGGAGACGGCTGGATATCAGATCTCTTAGGAGCCCAGGGGAAAGAGCAAATGGCTGCTGGGTTTTTTTGTTTTTTTTTACCAGAATGGGCTGGTTTGGACTGGACTGCTGAGGAAGGTGAATTCATTCAGATCAGCAACTCCCTGAGGGATTGAGGGGGAAAGGAGAATCTGAAGGAATCCCCCTGGAGAAAGAGAAAGAAGGTGTTGCTTTCTCTTGAGGGAGAGAGAGAAAAGGAGGTTCTTCTGGGTGCGGGGTGGGGAGTAGAGGAAGAGGTTTAGGCTGTGTGTGACACAGTCAGGGGCTGAGGGCAGGCAACCCAGGCTGCCTCTGGGGCTGTCCTAGATGCTTTTTGGAGAAGCCTGAAGGGTCCTGAAGGGGCAGCCTTCACGCCGAGGCCTTCCGTAGACATCTGGGGGGCAGACTTCTGCTCCACCAAGGAGCCAACAAACCAGGATTGCCTCTCAGCACAGGCTTGGGCAACCTAGATGGCTTCCAATCGTGAGATGACCGTCTTCAAATAAGGAACTGATCTTAATTCATTTTGGGCACATCTAGGAAGAGAAGAGGATCATGTCATAAAATTAAATTGACAGGAATGTCGAGATCGTGTTGACACTCACCTATTTCTTGGGGCCTGCCTGTGGCTGGGCTCCCTGGCTCCTCCAAAGGGCTGAGTCCCCAGCCCCGAGGGAAGGCAGGGGCCCAGGAGCCTCTGACCCACAACCACAGGCCAGCCCAGCCCACAGCTGCAGGGCAAGATGGCACAAGCAAGAGGCCTTTGGAGACTATGCTCAGTGTCTGGCAGGAAAGTGGAAGAAGCAAAGAGAGAGCCTCTGGAGGGACGGGGGAAATAATTTTTAGAGGTTATAAGTGACTTCTTTTATCTATCAGAAAAAAGAGGGAAATCTCACAATTGTCTTAATACCCAAGGAGGTGGTGGGGGTGAGGAAGGAATGTGTTGAGAAAGCTAGGAAAGCATGAATCATTCGGATCTGTTTGTTCATTGGTTTGTCAACTTATTTAACACACATTTATTTGCAGTTTATTATCCTGTCCCCAGAACTTAGATAAATAAAAATTTCTCGATTTCCATTTTCTTTCCTACCAACTCCCACCCCAATCCATTTGACCTAGTCAAGGATGAATCCAGTCATGATACTGAGCACTGGGAGGTGTGGCCTGGCTTGGGCACTGATGTTTTGATCCCTCTTCTGATTCAATAGATCCTCTGTCTTCTGGCCGCTGTCAGAATCCCAGCCCACTAGCCGGGTTCAGTGGCTCACAGCTGTAACCCTAGCACTCTGGGAGGCCAAGGCAAGTAGATTGCTTGAGCTCAAGAGTTTGAGACCAGCAAGAGTGAGAACTTGCTTTCACTGAAAAAAGTAGAAAAACTAGCCAGGTGTCATGTCTCATGCCTGTCATCCCAGCTACTGGGAGGGCTGAGGCAAGAGGATCTCTTGAGCTCAAGAATTTGAGGTGCTGTAAGCTATGATGATACCAGGACACTCTACTCACAGTGACAGTGAGACTCTGTCTCAAAAAAAAAAAAAAAAAAATCCCACACTACTGAGTGAATAGGATATTGGGAACTTAATACATGTTTGCTGAATGAATTAATGAAAGAAATTGATCTCAAATGAGCCCAAAGTGAGGTTGAAAGATGGATCCTGGTATCACCCCTTCCCTTTTAACATTTTAACTGGGGGGGGGGACTTTACCTTAGATCAGTGGAGCAAATGACTACGGAGAGTTTGGGCAAACCAGATAGTTGTGGCTTTTGCACTAGACACAGTTCTCTGGTGGAACCTCCCCTCTGGTGGAGGCTGCGTATTGAACGTATGGTGGTGTCCACACTTGTCTCAGAGGCAGCCGGGAGCAATGCCTCAATTCTGTCTGGAGGCTGCTCCTTATCTAATCATCTTAATGAGATTAGATAAGTGATGTTAGCAATAGTAATCATAAGAATAACAAATAGCTTAAACTTATTGAACTTTTACTACAGGTGTGTTCCAGGCATTTTTCAAAACACTTTGTACATATTAACTCATTTAATCCTCCTAATAATCCTATAAAGTAAATAATAATATCATTATTAACTCATTCTACAGATGAGAAAACTGAGGCATAGAGAGATTAAGTAAGTTGAGCAAGGCCACACCATTAGAAAGCGGTAGAACTGGAATTCTAATAACCCTGAGAGTCAAACCAACAGCTTTTGAAGAAAGTGGCAGAACTGTGAGTCAAACTCAACAGGTTTTAAAGGATTTTCCAAGGAATCAGAAACAAATTCTAGGAATAGTTTTAAGGAGTTTCATGGTTTGGTTCATTCATTCACTAATATATTCAATTAACACGAATGCTTGATGTCCCAGACCCCATGTTTCAGTGTTTAAATAATCGAATAAACTAGCCTATTGTGCATTGTGGTAACTATGGTTAACAGTAATCTTTTGGATACCTGAAGATTGCCAAGACAGATTTTAAATATTCTTACCACCAAAACACATTAAGTATGTGAGGTTATAGATATGCTAAACAGCTTGTTTTCATTATTTCAAAGTGTATTTATACATCAAAACATCAAATTTCACACCATAAACATATATAATTTGTATGTATCAAAAAATATAAAAATGGGATTTATTGCATAGTCTAGCTTTATCTCTTGCATAATAAGGAACAAACTGGGTGAAATAGAGTCTTTGAATCCTAAAACTAGTAGGCACCTTAGAAAGATGATCAGGATATAGTGATCTACCCATTCAAGTATTTGTTTTGATGATCTAAGGAAACCCTTTCCCATTAGCAGAAAACTGAAAATTGAGTTTCCAGAACAAACCAAAGTTGAAAGTCCATTTAGGTCATGCTATGATGGTTATTGGCCAGTAGGTGGCAGTCCAGGATTAATATTTGGCTGAGCACTAACCAGCAAAGTACTACTCTAGCCAATCTGTTCTTACAAAGATGGGGGATGGGGAAAGGTAAGAGGAATGGAAATAGTGAAGGGAAGAAGGTTGAAACACACACACACACACACACACACACACGAACACTGCCCAGAAATGCCAAAGGTTATTACTTAATGCTTACTAGAAAACATATTTGTTTCTGATCTGAATAAAGGAGTTGGATACTAATAATCCCCTTTCAGTACAGGCTATGAAGGTTTTAGATTAAGCTATTAAAGGGTGTTTATTTAGTCATTCAGCAAAAAAAAAAAAAGAAAAAGAAAAAGAAAAAGAAAAAGAAAAAAGAAAGAAAAGAAAAATACAACACTCCTTTTGGAGAGTGATATGTTGGTTGATAAATACCTACTGAATGTCCACTATGGCCCTGGTATTGTCTTGGGCACTAGAAATTGAGCAGTGAACAAGACTGAGTGGCTTTCCTTCAAGATTAATGTAAATAAATATGATTATTTCAGATTCTAGAAATTATTGTAGAAAATATCTAAAAGGGTTCTTTCTGGGCAGCGCCTGTGGCTCAAGGAGTAGGGTGCCAGCCCCATATACTGGAGGTGGTGGGTTCAAACCCAGCCCTAGCCAAAAAGCTTCAAAAAGGGGGGGGGTTTCTTTCTTAAGAGGTGAGATATAAGTTTAAACCTGAAGGATGAGAAGGAAGCAGCCAAAATGTAGGATAAGGCCACTCTAAGAAAAGGAACCTGAGACCAGAATGCACTTGATATTTGGGGGACACAGAAAGACCAGGGTGGTTGGAGAATAGTAAAGGGTGGAGGGAATTGAGGAAGAAGAGGCAGCAAGGGCCAGATCATGCAGATCTGTTTAGGTATTTTAAGGAATTTGGTTTTCTCCCCTTGCAACCACTCACCACTGGCTTTACCTTTAGGACAGTTGTATAGGGGCTACAGACACAGGGGGAGCAGGTCCAGGGGCCTGCAGTACAGCAAGTAACAGGTTGCCAGGGTTGTAGTTGGGGCAACAGAGATGGAGAATCTCAGAAGAGATTTTTTTTTTTTTTTGAGACAGAGTCTCACTTTGTCATTCTGTAGAGTGTGTGTGTCATAGCTCACAGCAACCTCAACCTCAAACTCTTGGGTTCAAGTGATCCTCTAGCTTCAGTCTCCTGAGTAGCTGGGACTACAGACACCTGCCACAACACCTGGCTACTTTAGAGATGGCATCTCACTTGTGCGCAGGTTGGTCTCAAACTCCCAAGTTCAAGCAATCCACCTGGCTCAGCCTCCTAACGTGCTGGGATTATAGGCATGAGCCACCACACCCAGTCCAGAAGAAATCTTAAGAGTTAGAGCCTACAGGATTTATTTTAAATTGATTTGTTGGAGGGGAGGCAGATAAAAAACAAAGCTGAATCAAAACTCCTAAATTTTTAGTCTGAGCAACTGAATGGGTGGTGGTGCCATTTTCTGAAGTGAGGAAGACTTAGATTTGAGACAACAGGATGGAGAAAGAGCTTGCTGGATATAAGATGCCCCATAATTATCCATAATTATGCTAAGTTGGATCACAACTCCATGAAAACTAAGAGCTGAACTAGATCTGGATGTGATTGAAGAATTGATGGCATTTAAAACCATGGGACTGGGCCAGTCATGCCCGTAATTCTAGCACTCTGGGAGGACTATGCTGGTGGATTGCTTGAGCTTAGGAGTTCTTTTTTTTTTTTTTTTTTGAGACAGAGCCTCAAGCTGTCCCCCTGGGTAGAGTGCCGTGGCATCACAGCTCACAGCAACCTCCAACTCCTGGGCTCAAGTGAGTCTCCTGCCTCTGCCTCCCAAGTAGCTGGGACCACAGGTGCCTGCCACAACGCCCGGCTATTTTTTGTTGCAGCCATCATTGTTGGTTTTTTTTGGCGGGTCCAGGCTGGATTCGAACCCGCCACCTTAGGTGTATGTGGCTGGCGCCTTAGCCACTTGAGCCACAGGCGCTGAGCCTGCGCCGAGTTCAAGACCAGCCTGAGCAAGAGCAAGACCTCGTCTCCACTAAAAATAAAAATTAAAAAAAACTAGCTGGGGCGTTGTTGGGCACCTGTGACCTCAGCTACTTTAGAAGCTGAGGCACCGAGGATCACTTAAATCCAGGAATTTGAGGTTGCTGTGAACTATGCTGACAAAGCACTCTACCTAGGGCAACAGAATGAGACTCTGTCTCAAAAACAAACAAACAAAAAAAGCATGGGATGGATGAAAACACATCGTGCATTGATATAAGTAAAGAAGAGAAGAGATGTGAGTATTGAGTCCTGGGATACTTACCTCGATGTTTGTGATCTGGCAGAGCAAGATGAAAATGGGCAAGTGCTTTCTCCAAAGGCAAATGATGATAATCTTTTAAGAAGGAGAGAGGACCAACAAGGAGATACACTCCAGAGAGGTTAAGAAAGAAGAAGCCAGGGCCCTGGTCTTTGGACTCAGGCAAGATGTCCATCATCTGTGACTTTGATGAGTACAGATTGGTTGGGGGTGGGGCTGGAAGCATGGTAGTAGTAAACCTGGAAAGAGAGGTGAGGCAGAAGACAATTCTTCTCAGGTTTTGCTGTAAGGAGGAGCAGAGAAAGAGGGAGAAACTCAAGGGCAACAGGAATCAAGAGAGAGCTTTAATTTTGTTTGTAGAATGAGTAATTCTAAGGCATGTGTGCTTGTTGATGAGGGTTGAGGGGATGGAGAAATAGATATCGGAAATTCCATAAGCAAAGAATTGGGAAGGAGAGGGGCTGGCTTCAAGAACCCAAACGGTGGGGTTGATCTAACATAGAAAGGACAGACTATCCATTGTACTAGGAGTGAAAAACCCACAGGTGGGTACAGAGAAGGGAGGTCGGTATGCAGTTCTGGGTTTCAAAGTCTCAGCGAAACACAGAGTGTCCACTCTGTGCCAGGAATTCTTCTAGGTGCAAAGACTCATATCCTGTGGTGCTGGCAAATAACACACACTCATACCTATATCTCTAGATATGACACGCCAGTGGGACAAGCGCTAAGTCCAGGATTTCAGGAAAGCCTGAAGAATGGACCGCATTGAGACACCCTGAGGAGCCATTCACCATTCCACTGCTTGGCTAGCTAGCATGTGTGCACTCCAGGAGCCCCTTTGGGATACAGCCCTTGCTGGGGAACTGGGTCCTTGCTGCGGGCCAGTGGGTGGGGTGGTCACCATCTCTCCCCTACTCTCCTCCCCAGTACTCAGTGCTTTGGGGCAATGAAGATGAAGGCTTTGGCTGGGCGAGGTCAGGATCCGTGTCTTCTGAGCTGCTATCCTCTACCTGACTCCCCACACCCTTTTACATGCAGCTGAGGGTGTGTGTGTGTGTGTGTGTAAATTCCAGTTCTTCTTTTTTAGTCTCTTTGCTTGTGTCTTTTCCACTGCCCTTTTCTTGGCCTCTTTTCTCTCCTCTCTTCAAGAGTTAAAAACACATATTCTGTCCTAGGCAAACATTAACCCCAGGCCCCAGGGTGATGTTTTCAAGAGGGTAGATAAACCCTAGGGGAGTGAGAAGCAAGATGCAAGGCCAAGAGGGGGGCTTGGCGGCACTCGGGCGCTGCTCGGCACCCCCTCCACTCTGCCAGGGGGTCGTGCAGGGGGTGGTAAGGGCACAGACCTCAGTCTACCCCCAAGCCGGGGTCTGCCTCCTGTGAGTACTTCCTCTGCAGCTCGGAATGATCTTCCAGAGAGTATAGTATGAAATAGGGGGAAAGGGGAGCGCCCCGACTTGGCAAAAGGACTTAAAGGCCATTCTGAATTTTTTAATAAGTGAGGGGTAGGCATGGGAACTGTCTAGAGGGTCCCTGCACAGAAGCTGCTCAGGACCCTTGATTTCCCCTTCTCTGCAAGTGGGGCCCTTTGTGATCCTGGGACTTCTTGGCCACCAAGGCATCCAGGAGGGGCTCTGACTCTGCGCTGAGGTGGATTCTCCCTGGCCTGGCAAGAAGTTGTGCTGCTGGGACAACCCTGGGCCTAGGGCTGGGGCTGCTCCTCCAGGTGGGGAATTTAACACCCACATTTTTGCAGAAGAGGATAGGGTTGGACTTGGGGGAGCAAGCATAGCTGGCATGGTGCTTCACTCCTGTAATCCTAGCACTTTTAGGCAGGAGAATTGCTTTAGCTCAGGACTTTGAGACCAGCCTGAGCAAGAGTGAGACGCTGTCTCTACTAAAAATAGAAAAATTAGCCCAGCACTGTAGTGAGCACCTGTATTTCCAGCCACTTGGGAGGCTGAGGCAGGAGGATCACTTGAGCCCAGGAGATTGAGGTTCCTGAGAGCTAGGCACATTAGCCTGGGTAACAGAGCGAGACTCTGTCTTAAAAGGAATGAAGGAAGGAAGGAAGGAAAATTAACAACCAGCTCCTATTTGTGAAGTCCCAGGGGCAGGCCACCCACAAGAGGGGCTGCAAAATGTTGGTGATTGAGGGATGCAATTATTGGTGGCATGAGTTTCTTTTTCCATTTTTTTTTTTTTTGCAGTTTTTGGCTGGGGCTGGGCTTGAACCCACCACCTCCAGCATATGGGGCCGGTGAACCCACCACCTCCAGCATATGTGCCCTACTCCTTTGAGCCACAGGCGCCACCCAGTGAGTTTCGTTTTGAACTCCTTTTAACCTTGCAGGAGTAGCCATGCCCTGAAAACACTTGTGATTTGGAGTTGATGGTCCAGGCAGAGGGCTGAGTGACCAGAGCAGGTCAACTAAGCTTCTCTGGGCCTTTATTGAATTCTTTCTTACATGAAGACATTACTCCCAGTTCTCCCTACTTCTCAGGACTTCAGTCCATGAATTAGATGGGGCAATCTCAACCAGCATTTTACTGGATAGAAACTATAAGGATGAGAAGGTTATATCATAATAGAAGGGTTTTCCCCCCTCCAACTGTATTGAGATGTAATTTATTAACGGTATTTTACGCACTTTCTCTTTCTAATAGAGCCTCACACCAATTCTCAGCACCAGAGGCTGACAACTGCTGAGGATGGGTACTAAGATTCCAAGAGCTAGGTGCTTCCCATGGCCCACCAGTCCAATTCCACTGGGTTTACTATGACTAATAATGGCTGTTTATGTTTACTAAGGATTGGGCTGTGTTTTTGTAAATGAATTGTCTTTAATCTTCACAACTATTCTGCAAGTCAGGTGTTGCCTTCTTTTTTTTTTTTTTTTTTTTTTTTTTGAGACGGAGCCTCAAGCTATTGCCCTGGGTAGAGTGCAGTGGCATCACAGGTCATAGCAACCTCCAACTCCTGGGCTCAAGAGATTCTCCTGCCTCCTCCTCCCAGGTAGCTGGGACTACAGGTGCCTGGCTATTTTTTGGTTGCAGCCGTCATTGTTGTTTGGTGGACCCAGGCTGGATTGAACAGAACAGGTCAGCTTAGGTGTATGTGGCTGGTGGCGCCAAGCCACCTTCTTTTTACTGATCGCGGCTCCCTGTTCACCATGTATGAAATCTTGCCTAGCCAGGAGGATTTTAATTCTCACTTTAAAGAGCTAGACAAAACGATTGGCCAGGGCTCAGAGAAAGCCCTTGGGTTAGAATTTAAAATCTCATTTGCGGTCTGGGAGCCAGGGCTCATGCCTGTAACTCCAGCACTTTGAGAGGCAGAGAAGGGAAGCTGGCTTGAGGCTGGGAGTTTGAGACTAGCCTAGGCAGCATAGTGAGTCCCTCTCTTCATCCTGCCCCCCCAAAACTAGCTGGTAACCCATGCTTGTGATCCCAGCTACTCAGCAGGCTAAGGCAAGAGGATAACTTGAGTGAACTATGGTTGTTTTGCTGCACTGCAGCCTGGGTGATAGTGAGAGATCCTGTCTCTGCGGGAAAAATAATAAAGCAAACACCATGGTTTCCCGTTTTAGGCCCAGGAGATTAGGTGGTGAGTGGGTGCAATTTCCCTACAGAGAGGAAAGCCACTTTCTTTCAAGGGGCTGTAGAACTGCTGGAAATGGATTTCTTTGCAGTTAATCGTCTGTGAGGCTCTTTAGATGCCTGATTCCAGAAACCCAGAACTCACACTCAGGGTAACAATTCTGGACATTTATTTGCCAAGCCCCATGGATGTTATCCCTACAGATCCACCCGGCCCTGCCCCTTCCCCTTTGGAGCAGAACGAAGCCCATTCCTGTGCTTTTGCAGGAAGTCTTTAGGCACTAGCGTCGGACCCCTTTCGACATCAAAGCCCCCCTGAGAGCAAAGGACTTTGAAAAGATTCTAAGATACGAACTGCTCCGGGCTTCTTATCGCGCCCCTGCTCCCTCCCGACGGAGTCGTAAATTCCGAGCCTCCGCGGCCGCCCTCTCTCCTCCGCTCTTCATCACCCAAGGTCTCAACAGACAAACCTATCACTTCTCGCCTGGACCCTAGCCCAGACCGAAAGTAGCGGGGACGGAGAGGGCTACGGTTCAGGACTTGTTAGAGGGGCGGGCGCAGTGGGTTCCCCTGCTACGCCAAGAAACCTGGTCCTGGGGACCCTGCTTTGCCCTCCCGCAGCCTCCTTCGGGTTGGGGCGGAGCAGTAGGGCGGGCTCTTCCAGCTTTCTGCGACCGTGCGGAGCGCGCAGCTAGCAGCGGGCGCGCGGACCCGCAGCACCACGCGGAACAGGCGCGGTGACGCGCTCCCGCCACTTGTTTGTGCTTCTCCACAGGCCAAGAGGGCATCCTGCGCTGCCACCCGGACCTGGCGGGCCGCGAGCTGCAGCAGAGCACACTCACAGCCGAGTCGCAGCGGGAACAAGCCGGCGCCGGCCTGACGAGTCTGAGCGCGGCCGAGCAGCTCCAGCTAGCCGAGCTCAACGCGCTGTACCGAGCGCGCTTCGGTTTCCCCTTCGTGCTCGCCGCGCGCCTCAGCAACCGGGCAGCGGTGCCGCGCGAGCTGGCGCGCCGACTGCGCTGCCCGCCGGCGGAGGAGCTGCGCACCGCCCTGGGCGAGGTGAAGAAGATCGGCCGCCTGCGCCTCGCCGACCTTTTCGGCGCAGATCCCGCTAGGCTGTAGCTGCCGCACGGTCGGGGACCTGGGACGCGCGGCGGGAGGAGCGGGGACCCAGGCCTGGAGCTGTGCGCCCTGGGCGAGAGGCTGACTCTAGTCTGGAACCAGCGTCCAAACACGCTCACGCAGGAAGTGGAGAATTGAGTCAATCATACCAGTAATGAGCCCTTTTGTCCACTTGCCCACACGCACACGCGTTGCCAAAATATATAATTAAGTGCTTTGCCCCGATTTATCCAATTTTTCACTTTCTTTGTGGCCTGTTGACACCACCAGCCTTTGAGGATTTGAAAGCGCTTATCCAGCTCTTGTTGGCTTCCCACCCTCTCCTGCTAAGCCTGAGCTGCAAAGCAAAACAGACAGAAAAGAAAACATTTATTCCAAAGCGGTTTCTCTGTCGCCCCCCGCCCCCCATTTACGTGTGAGCAGAAGTGGCTTTCTCACTCTGGGGCACCAACCAGTCGGAGCTAGGTCTGAGGCATGGGGAAAGTCTCGGGAAGGGGCAGTGGCCCAGGAAGAGCACCACGGAGGCCTAGCATTTGGAAGGCGCCCCGTGGGGACGTGAGGTGTAGCTGCAGCCATTGTTCGCGGGAGAGGTGTGCGGTGTCCGCCCTGGATGGGCCTGACTGCCTGGAGCAGGTGGGCCCCTTGTCTCACTCGGTGGTCAGCCCAGGGGGTTGGCTCACTGTCCTGGGAAACCAATCAATTATTAAAATAATACTACTCATCGAACTGCTGAGTGTTATAAACCTCCTCTCCCCCCATGAGATGAACTGGACTCTTCTCAGAAACCTTCCCAGGCATAGTAGGCCGAGTCTGGGAAGGTTGTCAACACCGGGGCTTTGGAGCTGGATTAGGCTGTGTAGCCTCCTGCACCAGCCACCTGAATGGCTGCTGGGGGAAGGTCCATCACGCAGAAGGAGCCCACCACATTCTCTCTCTCACGCACACACACCGCAGGTGCACGGAAGGTGTGCCAGGCCAGGCCCCAACAAATACTACTTAGGCTTCTATTTGGCAGAAGAGAAACACATCATCCATGTCTTCCCTAACAGATAAGGTAAGAGGGGGAGGCCCTTCTGAGGACAAGAACTTCCACTGGTGACCATCCCTGTTCAAGAATAGCAGCTACAGCAAGAAAACCTTTCCTTTCTAAAAAGTGCTGTGGGCCACACCCTTGGTTCTGGAGTGGATGTTGGGCAGGAATTAATCATTCTTCTCACACTGGAAATTTTAGACAAGTCACTCCTTTTCCCTTCCCATCTTACTGGTGTTCCCTGCTAGTAGTTAAGTAAAGGTGAAGGAAGGAAAAGCTGGAAATGGGAGTGGGTGCCAGGGAAGTGGGCAATGTCTGTGGGCTTGTGCTCGGGCACCTTTTCTGGGTGTAGGAGCACCAGGTGCACATCCACTTAATGACTCTCAGTCCCTGAACTTTAGGACTTTGAGGCAATGGTGGGGGGCTGAGGTCTGAACTAGACACCTGTTTCCCTATAGCCAAGGTAGGTAACTTTGGGGATTTCCTGGCACACACAATAACTTGCTGTTTGGTGAAGAGGATTTTCTGACCCAGGATTCAGCTACCACAGACTGGGCCTAAGACTCAGAATAACCCACTGCATTTAAGGCTGTCTGACCCAGGGAGGAATCCAACGCTTGGCTAAATGTCCTCCTCCGCCCTCAGCCCCCAACTTAGTATCCAGTGGCCTTCATGTCAATGAGCTCAACACCAGATGCACAGAACCCACGAGGGCAAAATTCCCTGCAGTTTTGTTTTTGTTTTTTTGTTTTTTAGCAGGAGCACAGATGTGAGCTGGACTCACGCGCAACCCAGTTAACAGTTACACAATTACATTTCAACAGTTAAAAGCTTGTTCAAAAAATTATTTATCCTTGTGGGAGTCAGACGCTGGATTTGTCTCTGTCGAAGGAGGTGGGGGTGAGAGGACAGAGAGCTGACTGCACAGCCCTCTCCCAAAGCCTCTGAGCACTAGCAGCCTCGGGCGAGTGCAGGACGCTGACCTGGGCGCCGGGCTGGGAGGGGCCCTAGCAAAACCCACCAGGGGCTCTTACTTTCCTCTGCGGGAGGAGCAAAGGGGTAGAGGCTGTTGCTGGAGCCGGTGGGTCACCTGTGGCTGCTGAGGTCTAGTAGGCAGTTTTTTTCCCCCGGAGACCTCTGGGCTCAAACAGTGACATGCCCTGGACTTCTGCGGGACGCGGCCAGGCAGAGACAATTTCTCGTTTCTGCGCTCTGGTGCGCAGGATGCGGGAGACAAGCCCGGAACGCGGGGACCCCAAAGTAGACGCCAGCCACCTTTGCGGAGTGTGGGGAGAGTCCAGACCACACTCAGCGAGCGTCAGGGACCCCAGAAATAGTTGGTGCAGATTCCACAGTGAACATTAATATTTTACTGGCCAATTCGTTAAAAAGAAAACAAAACAAAAAGAACCACATTGGCAACGCTTAAGAGAATCGGAAGGTGAGGAGCTGATTTCAATTTCTGTGACCCAATAACCCATCCGTGCGCAGGCCCTCATGAGGTGGGGGGCGGCTTTGTGGATTTTCACTGCTTTTTGAAATGTCCAAAGCCATTTGAACGAATGCTCTGAGGGGAGGGAAGGGGCTCCCGCTAGGAATTCAGAAGCAGAATACAACCTTGTCGCTCACCCATGTAATTGGCAACCTGGATGGGGCTTCCTTTTTATTTACCCAGAAAGGTAGGGGTTTTGGTCTGTGTACCCAAAAGATATTTACAAGACATTAATATGGGAAGAAAGGAAAGGGGAAAAAGCAACACAAATTCTATGCATAATCTTTACTCATTTTAAATTTGCTGTGTTTCCAGAGACTAGCTACAGGATGTTGGTTCTGATTCAAAAACAGAGAGGAGCTCTTACTCTTTCAGAGAGCATTTACTATGAGACAAAAGTAGATGGATACCTTCTTTGTCAACTGGAAAAAATTCTGGGATGGGATTTATGGAAAATTCACCATTCAATAAATTGCAGTAAGCAGGTACTTGTGAAAGAGAGAAATTAATGAGGATGCGGAAAGTGGTCAGAATTGTAGCAACAAGAAAAACTGATCGTTCTGGGGGTAGGGGATGGGAATGAGAAGTTGGGATTTCCTGAATCAAGCCAGTTGGTTTTGTATTGGGGACGCAGTGTTTCTAGGGTGACATCAGTAATAGTTCACATCTGTACAGACTGCACATATTGTAGCTTATTTAATTTAAGGGACTTGAATAGCTAGCTTTGTGACCTTGGGAAAATCATCTAACCTCTCTGGGCCTCAGATTCTCCTTTGTAAAATGTAAATATTATACAGACTTTAAGACCCCTGGGTCCCCTCTAGAGAAGGTAGCTAGCAGGTGGGCCCCTTGACTTAGGAGAGTTGAACCTTTATCTAAGCACTTCCTTTAGCCAGGTAAAAGTTACCTGGTAGGGCTTCCTAGGAATGTATTTTCATATGATAAACAAAGTTCATTCCCCCAATCAGACAATAGTGAGTGAACAAATATTAGTGGGACGCCTTCCATGCCAAGGCCAAATAGTAGTGGTAGCAGTTGCTACCTCTTTAGAGAGCCAGATCCTCCCTAGCACCAAGCGGTTTCCTTTGGGGTAGAAGCCCCCACTCTCAGTGGGGGTACCAAATCCCTGCTATTCCCAAACCTTTCCCTCTTCAGGATTTAAAGCATCTCTGTGCTCACCCACCACTAATGTTTAGAATCCATAACTTTCATCCAATGAGCAAAACCAGATTTCTATACCCAAATACTACCCACTCTCCTTAGGCTCTTTATTTTCCTTGATCTCCTGGCTATAAGAATATATTTTGGATAGAGAAATATAAAAAATGTATTAACTGCCTTGGATCAGAAACTTTGGTGCTTCCTCCATAAGAAAAGACAGCTGTTTTCTTCATCCTATCCTCCTGCATCCTGGTCCCTAAGTGGTAAAACTTTAGCCCATCAATGACTGCTCATGAATTTGGGAGATTTTCCTTAGGTAGAAAGGACTAGAAACCCAGTTTTTGAGAGGAAAACCTTCTTCACTCCACTGGGCAAGGACACATCTGCGCTTGTGAATGAAGCCTGGGCAGCTGTGGGCAGCTGCGGCTCCTCCCTGCTGTTCAAGATGAACATGTTGGGATCCTTTGTGGCCTGATGGGGCCAGACAGGTGGTGGACTCTGGGGAGGCCCCACAGAAAGGACACTGTTATTGATTTCCTTCCTGGAGATGTTAGCTGAGTGTGCTGTGGCAGGGCAGGGTGCGGGTGTTGGGGTCAAACCATCCATTATTCAGCCTTTCTTTGTGTGAGTGGATGGCTGATTGAGTGCAATGGTTGAAAGACTCCCTAAACGCCAAATTAAGCAGAGATTGAGCAGTTTTTCCATAGCAGTACAGACTGCCAAGCTGGATAATTTTATCAGACAATATTCTCTTCCCTCTCACATTTGCTTAATTATCCTGGGAATTCAGGTCAATGCAGGGTGAGGATTTCCTGGGCAGGGGAGGAAAGGGGTGTGGGAGAGTACGCATTAGATAATATTCTTGATCCAAAAAGAACTCAAGTAGACTTACTTGGTAAATTGGGTAGAGAAAGCTTGTTATGTGGGTCACTGGGCTCCCCAGTTTCTTGGGGCCACAAACAGTAGGCAGAGGCAGGTCCCCCTAGCTGGAGCAAACACTGGGGACCTTTGAGCAGGGAGGGTGCTGTGTCAATGATCTGTGGATTTAAGGAGTGTCTCATCTGCCTGGCAAGGCAGCCTGCCCCTTCCGGTGCTGCCACTCCCCACCCCTCTTGGAGCTCCTGCCCTTGCCACCAGCAGGATCCTGGAAGCCCAGACCCTCTGTGAGGAATGTGAAATGGCCTCTACACCATTAGTAACAAAGAGATGTCTCTTTGATAACCTGGTTTCAGCTGCCCCTGCAGTTTTCTTGTCACTTTATTTACCTGGGTCTCTTTCTTCCCACCCTTTTCTGCCTTCAAAAGTCTCTGGCTGTGGCATCATGGGGTTGCAGCTTCAGCCCCACTCCAACCCCAACCTCAACCTTCCCAAATAAATGTGCACACACCCCCAGTGATTTGCTACCAGCTTTTCTGGCCAGGAGGCAGCAGTAGCAGTGTGGGGACAGAGAAGGACAAGAAGGAAGGATGCTTCCAAGCAGCAGGGGTTAGTAAAGGTAACCCCAATCCCCTTTGGGTTCTCTAAGAAACCCACTAAGCACCTTGGTCCTGAGATTACTGAAGTCCTGCATTGGGCCTGATGCAGGTGGCTTCAGCATCCTCCCAGGGCTATACACCTGCACTCAGAGGCTAGAGATGCTGCCCTTGCCCAGAGTGAATCTCCAGAGGACAGCCATGGGCCACCAACCTGCAAAGGGCTAGGACTGTCCAAATGAAAAGCCACTGAGTCTTCCATCCCATCAGCCACTTTCAACCCCTCCCTGACATCTCGGACAATCCTGCCCTTTCTGTGTTCCCAGCTGGGCCCCCTCTTGACTGAGAGTGCAACCTATATATAGAAGGACACTTCCACACTGAGAGTTTTTACTAGGTTTTTTCCCTCACCAAACAGCCCAGACCCTGGAACCACAAGCAGGCCAGGCTATTGCCAAGAGACACATTTTTGCAATGAGGGAAACTGATTCATATCCTTTTGGTGGCTGGTGCACCCCAACCCAGCTTCAGCCTTCCCTAGGTCCTGGCCAGCTCTGGGGTCCAGCTTCAC